CCTTTGTGGAACCTAAACTAACAAATTATTATTAACAAAAATTAAATATTTCACATATATATTTGAATAGTCTCCTGTAAATTTGGAGTACCCTATAATAATGAAAGGCTCCCAGTTTTAAAGAATACAGGTAGTCTTTGGTTAACAATGGCAATTGTGACAGGGATTTCCATGACCAAGAAACACTGTCATAGAGTGCGATGCCCCACGAGTGTGCCAGCGAAGGAAATTGAAGCAGTTCTGGCTGCCTTTGTTAAGTTAGGACATCACCTGGCTGCCATTTGCCTACCTCCTGCTGGTTTCCATATTGACTTTTTTTTGTAAGCAGCTGGCAAAGATTAGAAAAGGTAATCATATGATCGTAGGATGCTGTGATATTACAAGCTAGTCCTTCAGATTGTGATCATCTGATGATGATGATGTTACAAAGTTAAGTACACGGTCCATTTATACCTACAACTTGTTCAGCGCTGTTAATATGTTTATAAGGTGTGTAAGGTCGCTGAACAAGTGGTCATTAAGGTTCACCTGTAGTAAATGCATTTATTATAACTTATAAACTTAGCTTATTCAGAAAAAAATCTCTCTAGGGTCTGTAGGATCCTCACAAGATGTTTACAAGGTGTTGGCTCTCAGCCTTTTTTATGCTGGAGACATATTAAATTTTGTACATATGTTAAGGGCTTATCCACTTGTATTTCAATGTTGGTTGGATATTATTGCCATAGTGAACCAAGTTCTTCAAAGTCAGTTAAGGATTAAAGATGTCAATATTTTATTATATCATGTTTAGAGAGATGTAGGATAAGAGATATCTTGCATTTAACTTTAAGACAGATGATTGGAAAGGTTGCTATTTTGCCCAATGTTCTTCTTTCTCTTTTGCCTTAATCTATCAATCATTTCCATTAGAGTAAATATTTAACAAAAATATTTGGAATCTCTAAGGTGAAGTCTATTGTGAAACAACTCTCACATCTTATAAAAGCAAAGAATTTCAACTTTTAGTATATTTACTGATGGAAATCAAGAAATCATAATGAAAAACTTAAATTAAGTTGCCTGGGTGAGATGCTTCTGTTTCTGTTTACAGATTTTGAAGATTTCCAGCTATATATTCAGGAAACTCAGCTAGATTTCTCCTTGGCAAGGAGTGCTACAGCTATGTGCTTTCAGAGATAATTCATACTCACAATTTATATTCAATTTAAGCTATTATGACAAATAGTTTTATATATGGATACAATGTTATTATGTATCATCTATTAAACAAAAATCTTAAATAATTTGACCCATTTTGGGTTGCTTTTATTTTAACATTGTGTATTTATGTCAATAAATCAAAATATATGAGGTCACAGCCCCAGACTGCATATAAGAAATACAAGGTATAATACAATGTACATTATAGCATGCATGATAAAAAGATCTTTAATAATGTTTAATCTATTTTGCTGTCGGCAACATAAAAGTTTTACAACTATATACAAATAACTCTGCAGCAGCAAAAGTTATCTTGAGATCTAAATATATTAGTAATCCATTGCAAATGTCTTAATAAAAGTTACAGTATAACAGATTCAATATACCCATCTTTACAAGGATAAAGCTTTTCAGCATAGACTATTTTGCACTATTTGCCCTCTAATGCTGCTGATGGGAAAATATTAAACTGCAATATTTGCAAAGGTCTTTCAAAATGTATTGTTTATAAGTTGCTCCAAATGTAATGCCAGTTTGATATAAAATGTATTATAACCCAATTGAGCTTGCTATATATTGTTTGTAATTCCATATTAAGAATCCTTTTTTGAGAGCTAGCATTGTTTTATCGCATCTGAAGGCATCAACATTTCACCTGAAAATCCACTTGTAATTTGTCTTTTATTGGGATTTTCTAAGAGGAATAATATTTGTGTAATAATAATAATAATAATAATTTAATTTATATACCGCCCTTCTCCCGTAGGACTCAGGGCGGTGCACAGCATATTAAAACAGATACAAACAAAATACATCAAAAAACAAAAAAACCCCATAAAACCAAATTAAAAGCCAAATATTGGAAGCTGTGTGTCAATTAAAATTTTCTTAAAATCATCTCTACCTAAAATCCTCCCTAGGTCAGGCCCGCTTGCTGGAAAAGCCATGTCTTGAGGGCGCGGCGGAAAGTAAGGAGATCCGGAATCATCCGGATCTCGGGGGGTAGTTCGTTCCAGAGGGTGGGGGCACCCACAGAGAAGGCCCTCCCCCGGGGGTCGCCAGCCTACATTGCTTGGCCGACGGCACCCTGAGGAGGCCCGCTCTGTGGGAGCATACCGGTCTATGGGAGGGAATCTGTGGCAGAAGGCGGTCTCGGGTAAGATGTAGCAGACCCTGGGGATAAAAGTGAGTTTTTAGCCAATATCTGCACACATCTAGCCATATTTTGGTTTTTATAACGCTCACCTCCAAACATAGAATAACATTACTCACACATTTTCTTATCTAGAATAACTTCCTGATTCCTCAGCGAACATATGGATTTAACTCAGCTATATATAGGAACTGTAGCAGTATTTTAGCTTCAAAATGTTTCAAAGGAGTTGGCACATACTACGTGTTTCTGGATAAAAAGACCGAAATCCTCCTGAAGTCTCTGACCATTCAGAACGACTGGGATAATATCAGATATAAAAGTATCAATTCTTTTAGTCCAAAGCACAAAACCCAAGTACTTAAAACAAGGGTGTTGTTTTATTTTGTGTTATTTGAGGGTTAAACAGAATTTTTTGAAGTCCCTCAAAAATTGCACACACATTGTTTTCTCAAAGTTTATTTATAATGAATGACCCTACAGAAGTGAACCTGTGCTCCAACAGCTCTTTGAAGACTTTCCAGCCTGAGATAGTATGAAACAAGATATGCATGAAGCAATGTATAGATCCATTAGGCAGTTTGGAGGATAAAACTTCCCAAATAAAAACCATTTAAAGCCATAATCTGCAGAAGAGCACACTCAATTTGATGGGAGCAGGAGAAGGGGGGGGGCTCTTTCAGTAACTGTTTTCAGTAACAAGGAGACCCTTTGAGTAATGCTTCTAGTTTTTTGAAGTAACACTCAAGAATATGAAATTGTGATAAAGACCGTCCAAATTGGCCAGAGACAAGAATTACCCAGAGTTGAACTTTAATAATCTGAAAACTCATTATAATGTAAAAAACCATACCTACTGAATGAGTAATTAGTCATTAACAAGATCATGCTAAGAATATTATGGGATGATATGAGCTACGTATAAAGTTACTGAGCACTCTCACTATAACACAGATGAGTCAAATTATGCTAATAGAGGAACACATCCCAAATCCAATATGTATGAACATGTCCATGTTACTTTCTTGATTGCAAACTAGACATGGTTTAGTACTGTCTTCTTTCAGAATGTTATAAGTTCCTAATGATGGTATTGCCCTGCAATTCTCTAGTGGAATCTCATCAAAGAACCAGTGGTCCTACTTCTGCTTACCTTGTGAGCCCTGCTGATTTGAATACTGATTTAGGAGAATAGGACTGAATTGTGCTAATACATATTGTAAAAAACAGAAAAGGTATAAAAATTAAAGACTATCTAAAACCCTGGGTGTCCATATGAGGGCCAAGTTGAGTAAATAACATGTTTATTGCAACAGTAACACTACCTGCATTACAAAGTTGTATAGATATATGTAAAAGGTGGAGAGTGTTATCACAATCCATGCTGAAATTTCTGGATTCGATAAATGTCTCTACAGAACTGACAATGCCAAATGATTGCCAATACAGCAGGCACCTTGGCACTTTAAAAGTGATCTAAAAAAAATCAGTTTTGTGTTTTTAAAACTCAAAACTTTGGGTGAGATTTAAAAGCAAGGGCCCCAGAAAGTCCCATCTCAGCCAAAATACTTAGAAGTACATCAACGTTAGAAAAGGCTACTCAAATAACAAAGTGTACTCTTAATTATCTAGGAGCCAATCTGATTAAACCCAATAGTTTAATCCACACGGCACACTAAGCCCAAATACAGCCGCCTTTGCTCGTTTTATTTTTAGCTCAGTGTGATTTGTAAATTGTTTTACAGCTTAAGTTTCTGATCACATCCAGCCAAGTGGGACTATTCAATGTCATGGCTAGGTCAGGGGTTTAGCTAGGTCAGGGGTAGGCAACCTTGGCTTAGTTTATGCTAAGCCATAAACTAAGTTTAGTTTAGCTAGGTCAGGGGTAGGCAACCTTGGCTAGGTCAGGGGTAGGCAACCTTGGCTCTTTTATGTTTAGTTTAGCTAGGTTTAGTTTAGCTAGGTCAGGGGTAGGCAACTTTGGCTCTTTTATGACTCATGGACTTCAACTCCCAGAATTCCTGAGTCAGCATAGCTGACTCAGGAATTCTGGGAGTTGAAGTCCATGAGTCATAAAAGAGCCAAAGTTGCCTACCCCTGAGCTAGGTCTATCAGATTTGGGATGCAAAAGTGCGGACGACCGCCAGACGGAGTAAAAACAGGCGTTTCCTTGCCGTATCACTGCCGCCTACTGGCTGAGCGCATTTCTGCAGTGCAGATTCCGCAGCCCCCGATTCCGCCCGCCGCGTGAACTCAGCCAAGAGGAAAGTACTTCCGAGGGACCCAGTCCCCGATGCATCAGCTCCAGCTGTCAGTCATTTTTTTTTTTTTCCGAGGTAACGAACGTAAAGACGGGGGCTCAATTCCGCAACGAGAGAAAAACACGAATCGCTTTCAAACCCAGAAGCTCCGACTGCTCGGTACCTGCGCGTGAAGACACCGCGGCGTTTTAGCGTTTGCGCCGCATCCGCCTTTCGAACTGGGGAGGGAGGGGGGGGGGAAAGGAAGCGCGAGCCAAGAGCGCGAAAAGCGCGAACTTTTTGACTACGTCGCGTCACCGGAACCGGAACCGGGGTTCGCCGTTTGGCGAAACGGAAGGGGCGGGGTAAGTCAAAGCAAAACAGTAAGAGGAGAAGCGGCGGTGCGGTAAGAGTTTTGGCCCCGCCCCCTTTCCCGGAATTGCAGGTACGTGTAGCCGCTGCGCTTTGCTTTTGCGTACGCCGACGGCAGGCAGGGCCCTTTCCCCTCTCGATCGGGCGATGACGAGCCCTCCTGACACCCCCCCTCCCTCCCTCCCTCCCTCAGGTGTGCATGTTGAGAGCGAGGAGGGACGGGACGACGGGGCAGGAGAAGGAACCTTCCCTCCGCTTCTGGGTCCGCGTCCTCGGCCTTCTGGGACGCGAAAGGGCTTCGCAGAGAACGTCGCTTTCCCCCGTTTTCTCTCCTACCGGCGCTGTCGGCGGCACGGCTGTGGTTAAACTGCCGAGGAGGGGAGGCGAAAAACTCTGGGGCGGTAGCGACCCCGTGTCCCCGTTGGAGGGGAGGGGAAGGGGTTTGCCTGTCACGAACAGGAAGTACACGCAGGCGTCGTAGAGAATCGCAGGAACTGCTTGTCCTCCCACTTGGCCGCGCGCGTTTTCGAGGTGCTTTTCCTGAGTCTTCTCTGAGAGATGAAACCTCCTGACCTTTCAGGCAGGTATTCAAAGGAGTGCGCCAGAACTAGCCCTAAGGGACAGACTCGTCTGGAGGGGGGGGAAAATAAACTTAGGGTTGCCAGGTGTCCACTATTTGAGTGGACAGTCCACTTTTTTCACATTATGTTCACTATTTTTTTTCACAAAATAGTGGTCATTTTTTTTTATTCAAAAGCTTTATGATGAAATGGTATGTAATCTAAAGCTGTACAGTCTACTTTTTTTTACTACTTAACCCCCCCCCCCGCTTGTCCGCTGTTTTTTGGAAGCAGACCTGGCAACCCTAAATAAACTACGGACCTGGATTAGGGTGTCTGGTTAATTTTGCTGTGATCGATACAGGCAGGGCGTTGCATTTGAGGCTGAACTGGAGGTTTTAAAAGTGCGAGAAGAACAAGCATCCCGATTGCCTGCAGAATAGTAATACCTCGAGATCGGTCCCTAACAATGTTCCCCTACATGGAATTTTTAGTACTGCCGGTACATCTTTCAAAGCTCACTGAGGGGTCATATTCACCGACATATATTAATAGTGGTATAAATAATGTATTCTGTTCCTAATTCAACTTGCAAAATAGTAATAAAAAAGTAGAGTAATTATCTTCTGCCTAATATCAGTGCAGTTGCTTTAGAAATCAGTTGTAATTCTGCAATACTCTCTTAGATCTGTTTACTGTTGTTTACTTAATCCAATTGTTGGGATTCACAAAAAATGCAGTCTGGTTGATGGGCCATATTTTAAAAGTATGTTGTGCAAACTAAACTAGAATGTCCCTGTTGTAAAAACTATAGCTCTTCTTGAAAAGTGGAACGTAGGGTTAGGTGCATCCTTGATAGCTACTTATATGCCAATAGAGAACAAAGAGCATTCCATTCTGTTATGTCACATAATCATTTTATCAGGCATTCTTCTCCAGCCTGACAACCTTCATAGGTATTGCATGTATTCTTGTGAACCCAGACATTACTTTTAGCATCTGTGATGATAACAGGTCATAGTTTCACTATAGAACCATATTAACAACTGCAGTGATTCATTTAACAGCTTTGTCAAGAAAGGTAAAATGGGGCAACTCAACTGTCTCACTTAGCAACAGAAATTTTAGGCTCAATTTGGGTCATATATGTGTTGTAACAAGAGGACACAATGTAACAGCGTAAAATACAACAAAGCAAAATAAGGAAACAAAATGCTGATGTATAAACGTTAATGCCTTTTCCCCTGAGGCACTGGTAATATTAATCAGATATTGGAAGGAGCTTTTATGTTTTTTATAGTACAATAATAGTGTCAGGATAAATATTTACATAACTATTCTGCAGTTTTATCTTTATTGCCATCTCTTTCAAGAAGGCTATCTGATGTTTTAACTGTTCCACGGTCCCCAGAGAAAATAGGGAATACATCCGTAAGTTAGACAACAAAGGTTTGGCACACTGATTTCCAGTGGTATAATGGAAAAAACAAAACTTTGTGTTGGAGTTCTTGCAGTCTTTCTATTTTCTTATAATGCCCCAAAGTACAAGATGTAGACCAGCAAAATGCTGTGGACGTAGTATACTTAGATTTCAGTAAGGCATTTGATAAAGTAGACCACAACCTACTCCTTGGTAAGCTAGAAAAAGGTGGAATAGACAACATCACCACTAGATGGATCTGTAGCTGACTGGCAAACCATACTCAATGAGTAGTCCTCAATGGCACTACATCGACATGGAGAGAAGTAAGCAGTGGGATACCACAAGGTTCCATCTTAGGCCCAGTACTCTTCAATATCTTCATCAATGACTTAGATGAGGGAATTGAAGGGGAACTCATCAAATTTGCAGATGACACCAAACTGGCAGGAGTAGCCAACACCCTAGAAAACAAACTCAGAATCCAAAAAGATCTTGACAAACTTGAACAATGGGCCCTATCCAACAAAATGAGTTTCAGTGTGGAGAAAAGCAAAGTTTTATATTTAGGCAGGAAAAATCAAAGGTACAAATACAGATTGGGCAAGACCTGGCTTAAAAACAGTAACTGTGAGAGGGACCTTGGAGTCCTAGTGGACGATCACTTGACTATGAGCCAGCAGTGTGCAACAGCAGCCAAAAAAGCTAATACAATCCTGGGTTGTATAAACAGAGGCATAGAATCGAGATCACGTGAAGTATTAGTACCGCTTTATAAAACCCTAGTAAGACCACACCTGGAATACTGCAGCCAATTCTGGTCACCGTATCACATTATGTTGAGAGTTTGGAGAAAATTCAGAGAAGAGCAACTAAGATGATTAAAGGCTTGGAGACTAAAACATACGAAGAACGGCTACAGGACTTGGGTTTGGCTAGTCTAAAGAAAAGAAGAAATAGAGGAGACATGATAGCAGTATTCCAGTATTTGAGGGGCTGCCACCAAGAAGAGGGGGTCACGTTATTCACCAAAGCACCAGAGGGCAGGACAAGGAACAATGGTTGGAAACTGATCAAAGAGAGAAGCAACCTGGAATTAAGGAGAAACTTCCTGACAGTGAGGACAATTAACCAGTGGAACAGCTTGCCTCCAGAAATCTTGGGTGCTCCATCACTGGAGATTTTTAAGAAGAGGCTGGACAGTCACTTGTCTGAGATGGTATAGGTCCTCCTGCTTGAGCAGGGGCTGGACTAGAAGACCTCCAAGATCCCTTCCAGCTCCATTCTATTCTATTCTAATGGAAAGTAACCCTACACCAGTGATGGAGAACCTATAGCACAGGTGCCAGAGGCGGCACTCAGAGCCCTCTCTTTGGGCACGCATGCCATCGCCCCAGTCCTAGGCCTTCAGCTGGGTTTTATAAAACATTTTCACTTTAGGCCTCCGCCACCATGTGCAAAAAAAAAAAAAGGTTCAATCAGTCAATTTCAACTTCTCGCAGGAAAAAAAAAGATCTTGCAAAGTTGGAATTGATTGATTGAACTTTTTAGTCCCACCCAGTCTGCCGTTACCACCGCAGCCACGCCCACCCAATGGGCCACACCCACCCGACACTCAACGATGCATAAGTGGGTTTTGGGTTGCAGTTTGGGCACTCAGTCTCTAAAAGGTTCGTCCTCACTGCCCTACACGATCCATGTATAAGTAGCAGGGGTGCATCTTTATTGATGTTTGAATGATGTTTCAAAATATAGTGTACATAATTGTCATGAGATTTGTTTAGGGCTACTTCCAACTAGATAATAACCTTGTCATCCCATCTCTAGACTTCAGCCCTATGCAACATTTGAACTATCACCTTGCCCTGATGTATTTTAAGGGGAGTGGCTGCCAGATGCTCGCCTTTGGAATTGAAAAACTTAAAGATAACACTCACTATGCATTGGGCAATTGCTAAAATGATGGGTTAATGTGTGTTCATGTAAGGCAATGTGTCATTTGCATATTGCTATATTTTAATTTCCAAAAGTAACACACTCCATTATCTTATTCTTTGGTTATTGTCATGTTTATTACATTGTAAAATCTATTAACATAATTGGTACTTTTTCAGTTTTTTTATTATAAAAAAATTAATAGGATTACTATATCTGAAATGGTATACACTAATACTGTACAGTGTTATGAGGTTTGCTTATTCACACATACCTTTCGCTTGTACAACTTCATTAAAATTGCTCTGAATAGTCAATTAGAAGTTACCACATTAACATTCTCTAATATACTTTTCTATGTTTAATACATTGTGAAATGCATAAACACTTCCCCATTATCTATTTATCACTTGGTATTGATATTTAAATGGTGTATCAGAGGGTAAGCAATTGTGAGATTTGTGTTTCTAGAACACATTTTAAAAGCAATTCATTGTTTAACTATTTCCAGTCAAAATGTGTTATTGTTTTATAAAGAGCTTGTTGGAAGCCTTTGATTATAGATATGGTCATCAATTGGCTGGCATATTTTTTATATTGTTTAAATCCTAAAACCCTTAAACAGCTTCAAGGCATTTTAATTAAAAATCTGATACACATTAAAACAACACTAATAAAATGAGAAAATAAAACCAGTGTATCTTGTAATCACATAAAAACCAAGATACAAGCATAAATTGCTATTGTTAAAGTATCATAAATACAAATAATCTATGCATTTATAATTGGTAGCTATTTTTTTTCTAGATCTGTGCAATCATCTTCAGACTGGTACTTAACTGAAAATAAGTCCCACCAAATACATTGGTATATATGTTCAAGATTATTCTATTAGATGGCTACAATATATATTGCACATATTTGGAAAGTTAGAGGAGGTTGTAGCCAGAGATTTTTGAGATAGTGAAAATTTGATTTTAAAGGTTAGAAGCTGAGGCAAAAGTGTGAGGTTCTATGTAATAGCTGGCTGTAATTGTGGCTGAGACACATAGGTAGGTAAGTATGGTTTTTAAAATCAGTGTCAGCGTTCATGAAACATTTTTTCAAGACAGTGTCTAAATTAAAAGAAAATATAAACTAAAGGGAAAAAAATCCTGTAAGACTGTTTGGAATTAGTTTTCTTATTTAATGTAGGTAATGATGAAGGAAGCATGTGCCTCCATATGATACCTTTTACATTATGTATAAAGTCTTTGTTTTTACGCTTATTCGTTGCCTTTATGTATTGTTTTAATTGACATGTTTAATTGTTGAAGCACAGTATCAAGATAACTACAGTTGGTTAGGTTATGAAATTGTTATGCTGACAAATAAATGGATTTGAGCTATATAAAGATTTATTCCATTAATAGATAAATACAGAAATGTATCGTGCTAGAAAAATCATAATTACAATGAACTTGAGTGAGAAAGAAAAGACAGAAAAAATGTGTCTTTAGTGACAATTTGAAAATAAAAAGGAAAATGAATGTGGATGTGGAAAGAAGTAATTGGCAGCTGAGCAAGGAACAGCATATACAGATTAGGTCAGAACTGAAGAGACCATGTCAGCAAAGTTAAATTTTGAATAGAATGAGAAGAGTGGAGGAGGCTAACAACTACAAAAAGAGCTTATTTAGTTATATTTAAATCTAAGGGAAAGGAAAGAAACAGTGTATCCATTATTCGTAGGCTAACCATACCTTGTGTTAAATGGAAATGATATTTTGTTGCTTTCAATCGGTAAAAGAGATTGGGGAAAATTGAGTACCAGTAGTCTTCAACCTATGACCACAATTGACCCCAAATTTCTGTTGTTAAGTGAAATCTTTCTTGCCACAGTTGTTAAGTGAATCACTACAATTGTTAAGTTAGTAACAAGGTTGTTAAGTGATTCTGGTTTCCCCATTGACTTTGCTTTTCAGAAGGCCACGACAGATGATCACATATTTATTCATGCATTGACAAAAATCTTGGAGTAGAGAATTACTTCATATTCTTTGTCTTAATGATACTACAACAGAGAAATATATATTTAAGAAAGTGTATGAACTTTTAGAAAAGTATAATCTTTCAAAATCAAAACTAATATGTGTGGCTACAGATGTGCAGCAGCCAATGACAGGGAAAAGGATTAGCTCAGTTATTGGCTAAGCAGAATGAAATTGCTTTTGATCATTTCATCAGAAGCACTGCATTATGTGCCAGGAAGTGCTGTGCTCAAAAAGTAATGTAAATGGAACACATGCTGAAGTTTGTTAAGCAAACAGTGAATTTTTATATTCTTGAGGATTGTATCAACATCAATTTTCTTGAAATTGAAGGTGAAAAGGAAGGTTTATTTTATTATACAGAACTCTGCTGGTTTTCTTATCATATGTTTTTGATGTTTTGACAACTTCATCATGAAATCAAAAATTTTAGAAGTGAGGGTAGAGTCACAAAAACAAGAAGAATTGGTCAACACAGTTGGCTTTCATTCTAGGTATTATGAAGCATTTAAATGAATGAATTTAAAATTTCGGGGTCAAAATTAGATTGGAATGTTATTTCAATGTTTATTTTGTTCCTTTAATTTATGCAATTATGATTCAAATATTTAAGAATCACTTTGAATTTTAAAAGCAATTTGAAGGATTCAAAATGTGTGATAACAAATTTTTATTAATCAGAGATCCTTTTTCTAATGTTGAGAGTGAAAAATAACATTCAGATGAAATTTGAAATTTAGTGTAACACAGTGATAAAAAGTACTATATAACAAAGTTAGTGTTTCATATTTTTATTCTAATTAAAACATTTTGTTTAAATGTGTATGTTTGCTATAAGAATCTTAATGTTTGGTAGTACATAACAATGTGAACATTTATTTTCACTCCTGAAGATAATTAAAACTTCACACAGGGTAAGATTAAAAATGAACATTTATTAGCCCTATTGAAAACTGTTATCACAAAAGCTTGAACCCAATATTGGAAAAATAGTTTCTGGCAAAAAGTGCCAAGTTTCTCGCAAAGATTTTGACTCTTATGGTGACATGTTTTGAAATGCTTTCGAATCTATTCAATATTAAATCATAAAATTGTATGCACCTTTTTACAAATAGTCCTTTGATTATAGCACTTAGCTATAGAGTTACATACTGCTTCACAGTGCTTTACAGCCCTCTCTAAGCAGTTTACAGAGTTAGCATATTGTCCCCAACAATCTGGTCCTCATTTTACTGACCTTGGAAGGATGAAAGGCTGAGTCAACCTTGAGCCAGTGAGAGTCAAACTGCTGACAGTCCTGCAATATTGCATTCTAACCACTGCTCCACCATGGCTTTTATGACAATAATTGGGATCTAGATTGCTGTTGCTAAGCAATCTCCTTATGAAGTGCAGTGTCACATGACCACATTGCTTAGCAATAACAATCCCACCAGTCCCAGTTATTATCATGACCTCAGGACCATGGGGTTGTTAAGAGGGAAGAGCCAGGTGTAATGGTCTGTGGGAATGATCTTGGGAGATGGGACAAAGAATGCTGTCTAGGAACAGTCAGATAAGAGACAGCATAGCCCGCAACTGCATAGTGGGCAGAGCAAGAGGCTTCCCTAATTTCTCAGGCTGTAAAGTTGCTGATGGGAGAATTGTACTTTCAGACTTGCAAGATTCTATTAATGAACAGTAGGTTTAGAATAAAGTGGAATTAGCTTATCTCTTTGTGTTTCCTGCCTTGTTTACCTGGTGAGGCTACTAGCGGAGTCTCAGACTAGGACAGTGATGGCGAACCTTTTAGAGTCTGAGTGCCCAAACTGCAACCCAAAACCCTCTTATGCCTCTTCGAGTGCCAGGTGGGTATGGCCCATTGGCTGGGTGTGGCCAATTGGGTGGGCATGGCCAATTGGATGGGTGTGGCTGTGGTGGTAATGGCAGACTGGGTGGGACTAAAAAGTTCAATCAATTTCAACTTTGCAAGATCTTTTTTTTTCCTGCGAGAAGTTGAAATTGACTGATTGAAAGTTGTTGTTTTTTTGCACACGGCGGCAGAGGCCTAAAGCGAAAAGGTTTTATAAAACCCAGCTGAAGGCCTAGGACTGGGGCGACGGCGCGTGTGCCCACAGAGAGGGCTCTGAGTGCCGCCTCTGGCACCGTGCCATAGGTTCGCCACCACTGGACTAGGAGTACAGGGTAGGAGGATGGCAGTGCTACAGGTGGTGCTAAAAAGTGCCGGTGGGCTGGTGAGGACTGCAGATGGGCCAGCAAGGACTGTAGGTGGGTGCTAAGTTTCTGGCAAGTGCTATGGGTGATAAATGCTGTGAGTGGGTGGGTGCTGGTTCTCAAGGAGTAATGTAGTCTAATTTGTTCTGGGTTTTTTTTACCTTCTTTATCCTTCCTGTTAATAGTTTTCTATTAGTAATGAATGAATGTTGAATTTAGGGGAGGAAGAAGGTAGTCTAGATATACCAGGAAAAGATAGCTACCATTTGAGAATAAGCGCTGCAGATCTGCAGACTTAAATGTGATTGAGGATCAAACAGATTTAGTCTGCTATATTGGCAAAATATAGAGGCAGGCAAATATATAGAGGCAGGCAAATATAGAGGCAAATATAGAGGCAGGCAAATTACTATGGTGAGTGATTTTTTGAAGTAGGTTGTAAGACTGTAAAATTAATAAATTATATTGATGAGAGAAAGATGGAAAGTGAAGTGCAAAACTTAAAGCTGTTGTCATCCCAGTCATAGTAGGCCCTCAAACTCTAGATACTAGATTACAGAGTAACCGCTATTTCTGCGTTACTTGTACATTATGCGATCATCCTATTTGATTAAGAGGTTCCTTGAAAACGAATTATGTGCTTAAGAAATAAAGGCAGATGACTAAGGCAGAGAATTTTGGGGAATGGGATAAAAATCCAGGCTGACTGTTATTGATTTTATTGAAGAAACTGCCAAAAGCCTTGGCAAAGATGGAGAGCAAAGGCAACTTAATGTATTTGCAAAGCAAATTGGGAATGGAAAATAAAGTGCAAAAGCAATCCCTTAAATGAAAAATTATTGTTAGGGAGGATATCTAGAATTATATGCCTATGAGATACATTTTATGACAGATGTTGGAAATATTTTTTCTTGAGCCATATTATTTGTTTATATAGCAACATTTATAGCCCATCTCATTTCAAACAATCTAGCACCTTTTTTCAGATGGTATTGATTAGAAAAAACGTTTAATTTCTCTAATGATTTTTTCTAGTCAGGATATTTCCAGAAAATAAATTTATCATTCTAACTTATAATTTTTTTCAGCTTATCACCTCAAGATTGATGCATGTTTTCATCATTGTCTTAAAATTGCTGAGAGTTTGGATAAACATGGCTCAACTCCAACAAGGAGGTCCTGATGAAAAAGAGAAGACTACAGCATTAAAGGGTACAAATTAATTTGGAACTTCTCCTCCATAGGCACTCCGTAGACTGTGTTCTGATGAACTATAATTTTGTGGTTAGTAAAACAGGTGAGCAAGTGCAAATGATACAACCCACATTTCTTGGCTGCAATAAACCTCTTACATACATCCATAATCCAGAATTTTTGTTCTTTACTTCGAAAAAGGATATATCAGCATGCAACAGGACTGCTGTTAGTTGTGATAGAGAAGCCAGTTGGATCCCCCTGATGGCAAAAATCCTATAATGGAAAGAAAAATGCTACAACTTACGCATATTAGTCAACACTCAGAATGAACAAAGTAGTGTGTGGTGAAAGCTTTAAAGAGTAAACAAACATACCTTAATTGTTTGCAAAAGTTGATGCCGAATTAACGTATTATAATAATTTCAAAATTATTTCAGTGGAAGGATATACAAAACTCCACCATAGTAGCCTGGTTGAATTAGATTTCTCCCTCCCTCCCTCCCTCCCTCTGTATTGGGAGGAATTGTTGCTTATTTGGTTCCTTTTAGATTTCTATAACTTTTAATCTGATACAGTTTGGGATTTTGAATCTTATTCCCTGCTGAACTCTCTTCAACGTGCCTTTTTTTCTTCCTCTGAACATAAAATGGGATACTATATCCCATTTTATATGCTGTTTCTAGTCTTCAGAAAAAAAGTGCCATATAAACTGGCAATGTGTATGCTATCCTGAAATATATAGAAAACTGATAGGACATAAATATAATCAATATGCTCTTCAGAGGCAGTATTCACATGATAGCTTCAGACATTTTCACTCTTAGAAGGCAGGGCAATTGAATTGCCTCACTCTCCTATAGTGCTGTTGTCTTCTGCACTTTCCCTCAGTCAGTTTAGATGCAAGTTCTGGGTCATGTTATTATTATTATTGCAATGGATTTGCATGATCACTGTTTATCGTTAGAAAGAAAAAGAAAGGAAGAAAAGGAAGGAAAGAAAGAAGTGTGTGCGTGTATGTATATGTATATATATTCCTTATTAAGAGAATAAAGATAAGCAGTAATCATGCAAGTTTATTGCAATCTTAAATTTACATATTTATCCAGTTTTGCCCAGAGAAGAGAGTGTGTGTGTGTGTGTGTGTGTGTGTGTGTGTGTGTGTATGTATGTATGTATGTATGTATGTATGTATGTATGTATGTATGTACAGTATGTATGAAATCGAGAGTAGGTGGTAAATATTTAGATTTGTTTGAATACCCTTCTAATTCAAATGTGCTTAGTGCTTTACTCATTTAGGAAAACACATTTCTAAGACCACCTAATCTCCACAATTACTCTAGATGGCTTGCAAATTAAAAAGAAGCATCACAATATAAGAAAAAAAAAATGAAGGAGAATATTCCATAAGGTTGGAGTGGCCATAGAAAGAATCTGTGATTCTTTTCCTGGCCAGTAGGTGTTAAGTTGGGATGAAATCAATATGTAAATACATACTTAAAGAACATCCTGACCCTTTCCCATAAAAAGAAAAGTAATGTATCTTAAAGCAGTTCAGATTTAAATTTTCGGTGCAAAAGAAAGCTCTTCTGAAAATAACAAAAATACAAAAGATAAAGATTTTTGCTCCAGTTCCTGCAAACCTAGCAGCTCAAAAGCATGCAAATGCAAATAGATAATTAGGTACCACTTCAGTGAGAAGATAACAATGTTTTGTGTGCCTTGGCATCTAGTCATGCTGGCCAAGCTAAGAAACGGAGATGAGCACTGCCCCCTAGAGTTGGATATGACTGGGCAGAGGAAACCTTTTCCTTTACCTTTAATGTTAAATCATCTTTTGTTGCTGTTATTAGTCATAGATTCATAGACTCATTAGGTCAGAAGGGATCTTGGAAGTGTTCTAGTCCAGTCTTCTACCAAAGCAGGACTCCTCAAACATCCGAGTCCAATCTCCTGTTATGGAGCACCAACAGCTTCAGGTGGCTGGTTATTATGTTGCTTTACATCTCTCACAATCAACAAATTCCTTAGATCTCTGTAAAGTTACAACCACTTGTTTTTTGTATATGGAGAATAAATCCAAACTCTCTGCCCTGTGATAGCATTTCAAGAATTGGAAAACTGTTACCATGTTTTCCCTTACCCTTCTTTGCTCTCAGTTATTTTAACCATTCTTCATAGAATTTATCTTTCAAGATCCTCACATTCAAGAGCACGCTTTGTTGCTCTTCACTGTTGATTAAGCCCAGGATTGCACTGACTCTTTGGGTAGGTACAGCACAGTGCTAACTCATCCTTAATATGTTGTCTGCCAGCAAATTGAAATCCTCCGAACAAGTACTACTGAGAAGCCAGGTACTGTCTATTCTATATTTGTGCATCTGTTTTTTTATTTAGTTGAGTGCAAAACTTCACATTTCTCACGATTGGATAGGATTTTGTTGAATAGGATGCAATATTCAAGTCTATCAAGACCTTTTTGAACCCTGAGTGTGATGAGTTCTTTGCAGATTTGCTGAATATCCCTCCTCTTTCTTCATCTAAGTCATAAAAACATTGAAGAGCAGCGGGGCCAAGATGAAACCTCTCCATATACACATAAATCCATTAAGGAACATGTATTATGCATGATTGTTTAACCAACTGTGAATCCATCTGGTAATAGGACCATTATTCCATTTTATTAAGAGGTTGTGGCCTTAGTCCTATCTCAATCCTTACTGAAGATATGAAGTTTAGGTGTATTATATCCACAGTAGTTTCTTGATCTTCTAATCTCAGTATATTAATCCAAAAAGATTATTTATTTTTCACATTTCTGAACAGCCCATCTCCCTCAAAGAAGGAGTATAATAAAAATTTAAAATGTAAAGCAGTATGTATAAAGGTTACAAATTTTAAAATGGGGCAAGAGATTAAAATTAGATAAAAGGTAAAGGATGATCTTCCAGGGGGCCCCACAGCTGCATGCCCCCCTAGGCTCCCCATACAAGGCCACAGAGCCATGTTTTAACTCCTTTTCCGAAGGCCAGGAGAGTGGGGTGCTGCCTTGCCTTTAGGGAGAGAATATTCCATAGAGCAGGGGCAACAGCAGAGAAGGCTGTCTTCCTAGATCCCACCATTGACAGAGTCTGCAACATATCTTCTCACCAGTTGGGATGGGCTAATGTAATGGGAAGAAGATGGCTTTATAAGTAGCCGATTCCATGTCATGTAGAATTTTATAGGTCATAATCTTTTAATTGGACCGAGAAGCAAACTGGCATCCAATACAGTTCACAGAGTAGAAGTGTTATATGAGCCCATCTTAGGGTGCCTAAAATTGCCTGTGTGGCCACATTTTGTTCCAGCTGAAGCTTCTGGGTACTTTTCAAGGTTATCTCCATGTAGAGCACATTGCACTAGTCCAAACGAGATATGACCAGGGTATGATTGACCGACGAGAGTGCCTCCATATCCAGGAAAGGGCATTCAGCTGAAATTTGTTTTTTCCCATACAGGCCCTTATAATCTCCAAGCACCATGAAAGAATGTCCACTGCATCACTTACTTCACCTAGGACGGAGATATATAACTGGTGATATACTGGTGATACTTCATCCCATAGTGATGGATGATCTCACCCAGAAGTTTCATGTAGATGTTAAAAAGGAGTGGAGAACACAGAACACTGTGGCACCCCACAAAGCAGGGGCCAATAACTGGATCTCTTTTCCTATTAACATCAATTGGGGGCAACCTCAGAGGAAGGAGATGAACCAACACAGAACTGTGCCATTCAGGCCCAACTCACTAAGTCAGGCCAAAAAAAATGCCATGGTTGATGGTAATGAAAGACTAGCAAGGATGGATATACCACCTCTGTCCTGCTCCTGACAGATTATCCATTAGTGTGACTAGTGCTATTTCAGTCCCATATCTGGGCCTGAAACCTGACTAATAAAGGTTCAGATAATCTGTTTCTTATAGGATCCTCTGGAGTTGCAATGTCAGCACCGTCACCACCACTTTTCCAAAAAATGGGAGGTGGGAGAATGGACAAAAATAATCTAGAATGGTAGGATTCAGCAATGGCTTCTTGAGAGGGAGCATAACAACACCTTTTTAAAATTCCCTCCAACAAGGATGAATTCACCAACACTTGGAACATCCACAGGACACCTCCTGAGTGGCCTTAACCAGCCAGGAGTAGTATGGATCTAATGCACAGGTGGTGTTGTTTTCGTTCTGGAGGACCCTTTCCACTTCCACAGGTCCAACAGAATCAAACCGTTCCCAGATAACTGGATAAATTTGCTCCCTGGGCATCTCTACAATATTTGTACATGCTTCATATCCAACAGGAAATGAATCAGAATGATTTTATCCTCCAGATGCATGAAAAATTCCTCCACATGATCCTGTAGATGGGCCTCTGGGCTCCTTTTCCTGAGGACTGTCTGGGTAACCCTAAACAAGGCCATTGGGTGGCATTCTGTGGATGAAATAACAGTGAAGAAGTATTGTGATTCGTTGAACATGACCTATTATTAACCAAACCATGCTGACTTGTAATAAATATGATGTTGTTTTCCAAGTACTTGCAATATTTTCTTGATTTTTTTCCCCAAGTATTGGTGTCAAGCTGATTGATCTGTAATTTCCTGGGTCCGTTCTTTTCCCTTTTTAAAAGATTGCAATGTTAGTTTTTCTCCAGTTTTATGCTGTTTCTGATGTACTCCAGATTTCTCAACGATTACTGCCAGTCGTTTTGAGATTACTTCAGGTGCGTTCTTTAGCACTCTGTGATCTAGTACATCCAGCTCAAGAAATTTGAATTTATTCAAACATATAAATGTTCTTTGTTCCTTGCCTGTTTTGACCTGTTTTGACCTCTTGTCTCCCAACCCCTGATGCTGCATAATCTGGAAGGTTGGGCCAGTTTTTCCTTTTGCAAAAATACAGATGCAAAAGATTATAGTTTTGTCATTTATTTTAAGAATAAACTCTGGTCAGAAATGAAACCAAACAAAGTTCCTGTATAACTAATCATACTAGTATATTTCTGGAAATCCCAGCATTTGTAAACAGACCAAATTAAGTTTTTAAAGTTAAAAGGGCAATTCTTCTAAAATAATCCAGTAGCCTCAAAAAATTGAATGTGGGTTGAAAAAGAAAATTGGGAGATTTGAATGGGCAGCTTCAAAATCTTAATGTCGGTAACCTGAAAAAAGTCATAGCTTGATGGAACTCTGTAGGAACAATATATTGTCAATATTTTTATAGTTTTTTTAAACTTAAACATTTTATGTATATGGGAAGTTGCTGACTATGTTTGTGATAAATTAACAATTCTTTTACAGTCACTATTTTTGTTAGAAGTAATAACTTTGAGGTCTACAGAAAGACTATCTTCTTCCCCACCTTTTTTCCCCAGACTTGTTGTCTAGAATAGACTTGGATGAACTGATGAAAAAAGATGAACCACCTCTTGAGTTTCCTGATACTCTTGAAGGATTTGAATATACTTTTAATGAAAGTAAGTAATAATTTCAGGGGAAAAATCATTTAAAAATAAATATTTTTCCATGCCTTATTTTTATAGCTTGGTACTGATTATTCTTATACAGATGCATCAAATAATTAGTACAAGCAATAATCTGAAATAATTTTTCCCTGGTTAGAAATGTACAGATATTCACATTCTTGCTATACATGAATAAAAAAGAATTGTAAATATACATTGGGGAGAAATCTGAATAGTTTTCCTTGAAATAACATTGTGAACTATACCTTAACAACTGATCCTAAAGATACTGCAGATTTTAGTTTAACAAGATACTAAAAATATAAATATTAGCTTCTTTTCTTGTGTCACCTTTTCCAATTTTATGGAAGATTTTTTAAAAATATATAATCATATATATAGCACTTTAAATTGTCAATTACAATTACATTGTCTATCCATGTGATCTAGAAACCCTATTAATGAAAGTCAGGGAGCAAAGTGAAAAAATAGAACTTAGATTACATATAAAGAAGACCAAACTAATGATAGCAAGTATAAAAGCTACCCTTAGAATTGACAACAATGATAATGTATTAGTAGATAGTGTCTGGCTTTTACATTTGGCTATTAATCATAAAGTAACCTGAAGAAAAATGGTAGTTGCAGACCACTGCTTGGTAAGATAGCAATAAAGGCTTTGGAAAAGGTGTACATATGCTGTGATTTGTTTAACCTATGAAGATCACAATCTGCAGGCAATGGTTTTCCCTGTGATACTATGGGGAAGCAAAAGATGGACTTTCAATAAGCAGGATAGAAAAAGTATTGACATTTTTGAAAGCTAATATTAGAGAAGATACCTGAAAATTACATAGATGATCAAGAAAATAAACAAATGGATCATGTGAAAGATCAATCTGGAGTTCTTAAATTACCATATTTGGTACTCATGGTGCAAAGACCTAGCTCTCTTGAGAAGTCTATAACTCTGGGAAAGGTTGAAGGAAAGAAGGATAGGATGACCATCAGCAAAGTGAATGGACTCAATTACATCAGAAAATGGGTGCATTGTTGGAAGGCATGAAGGAGAAGATTGGTGACAGATCATACTCAAGAATTTCTATGTGGTCACTAATAATGACTTCATGACACATAAGCAATTAAAAATATAATACTTAGCTATTCAGTAACTCAAAGAGTTTCATTGAAAAGTATTAAAAAAATCTTGCTTGTTAAGTTTTTAATTCTTTGAAACAAATAGTTCAATCATTTAAAGCAGTATTCTTCTGCCTCGTTTTAGGACTGCTCATTTAATAATGCATATTAGCTTGCTAAAAGCTAGTAACACATAAATGTTAATGCATGATGCTAAAAGGTTAAAAGTTCAGCCATCCTTGTGTTTGAAAGGCACTGCTATATTCTAAATAATTCTTTATTCTACATCATCCTATTGGAGCTGTTAGTAGAATTTTTTATATGTCTTTTTAATATCCTCATTCATGGTTTTGTGATTTGGAGGGAATTTTATTCTGATTTACCCCCCAAAAATCTAGAAGATGGTGACTTGGTGAAAATTAAGAGCACTTCAGAATATACTACAATTCAAAACAGTGCTCTAATTTCGTTAGGGAGAAACTTGCTTTGAAAATAAACACAAAAATTGAGCAGGGATTTTTTAAAAATAGATGTGCTAGAAGAAACAATGATTGGCATTAAGGAAGGTATATTAAAACTGGATGTGAAGTTGGAGTGGAACATTTAATTGGCAGTTAGTAAACACATTGAAATTGATAATGAATAAAAAGGTAATAATACCTTTTCTTGATCAATATATTAAGAGGCAGAAATTCTGAGATAGCATAAAGTACTGTACATAGTAGACATAACCTTCTCAAACAAAAGATCTTATCTATTTGTTTAGACAAAAATATTGAACTGTATACAATTCAATATAATTTCTATGAATGTAAGTTCTGCTCTTATATCTATTTGTTTTCATCAGTAATTATATCTAGGCAAAATAAATCCATAATGTATGAAAAATAGTTTTTTGTGTGAGAGAGACTTCTGATGATTGCCTGGACTAGTTCCTGCAGTTTTCTTGGCAAGTTTTTTGGAAGTGGTTTTAGGTGCAAAATATCACCTAAAATAGCAGTGCAGTATCATCATTATATTTCAAAAACTCATTTTTGACACCTGTGTATAATGCCAAATGTAAAGGGAATAATTGAAGAGAGAATCTATTTTTACTGATTTTATCTATTATGCACTCATAACTAAGTGCATAAGTGTATAAGCGTGGTATAAACATAGACCACAGAGATCATCCAAAGTCACCCAGCTGGCTTTCATGGCTAAGGTGGGGCTTGAACTTAAAGTCTCACACTTTCCAGTCTGGCACCATAATCAGACTGGATCTCTTTATGGAATATAAACTACTTAAAGTGGATATTGTATCATGAAGTATTATAATGAGTTAGCATTTTGAAAGTTGTGTTTTAAATTTAACACTACTATTTTTCTTTATAGAAGGGCAGTTAAGACATATAAAAACTGGAGAGCCATTTGTTTTTAACTACCGAGAAGATTTACATAGATGGAACCAAAAACGCTATGAAGCTCTTGGAGAGGTATATATTATTTACAAATAATATAATAATGTATACAGTCTGCCTGTTTTATTTTATATTTGGCTTAATAAAGGGAAACAACGTATTATTGTAAGGATAGCATTGTACTGAATAGATTTGAGAGCAAGGAATAATCTTATCCAGAAATTACCTGTACTGCTTTAAGGGTGAACTAACTGTTCAGTGAGGTTTATATGTATATGCCTAATTATAAAAAAAATATGACATTTTCTCTGTATTGTACAAAAACTTACAGTTATTATGCCAGAATTTTTGTTGCAAATTCAGATATGAATATGAGGAGGCAGTTCCATCTATGTTTGTTTATTTGTTATATAGTTTTTTACACATTTAACCCATTTGTGTTGATTTTAACTCATTGATATTTTATCAAAATCAAAAAAAATGTCAAGTTCTTGTTAAATAATGTTTTAGATTGTCTTGTGTACAAGTAGTCCTCACTTAACAATGGTAAGTGGGACTGGAATTTCTGTCACTAAGTAGTATTGTCGTAAAATATAAAATCACACGACTGCCACATAGTAACAGAAATTCTGGCACTTAGGTTGCTATTATTAAACGATTCATTGCTGGATGTTAAGCGAGGATGTCACATAGTCACCATTTTGCAATCTCTTACCAATTTTCCCAACTTTGCTTGTAGGAAGCTGGCCAAGAGATTTGCAAATGGTGATTACATAATTGCAGGATTCTGTGACTTTGTAATTGGAAGCCCATTACCATGTGCCTGAGTTATGATCACGTGACTGCAGGAATAATGTGACAGGCTCTATTACGGACCTAATTGAGTTTCCCTCATTCAGAGCCACTGTAAGTTCATCTGGTTGTTGAATGAGTGGCCATTAAGTGAGGACCACCTGTAATGGATGATGCAAGAGAGACTATCAACTCTGGCATAGCTAGACATTTGTCAGTCTCTTATTCATTGTTTAGAGGAGTGACAGACTGAGCTACTGTAGTATGCATTGGTGTTAAGCCTGATACTGAATTTAATAAAAATTAAAAGTTTATGTTAGCTTTTCTTTTGTGCTTATGTTGAAAGCATGTGAGAAATAATTATCCTCTGATGTCATCAGTTTAGTATGGCAGAAAGATCATCTGTAAATGTGTCCATGTGGTCAGTCAAGTAGGAAGGCTTTTCAAGGAGCTATGCCAGGTCCGCAAAAGGGAATGCATCAGGTTCAGAAAGTAGCAATGGGAGAAATAAGAAGCCTTTTTCAGGCAGCAAGTTCCAGAAGGTGTACAAACTGCCCCTCAAATCAAATCACACAGCCCTATTTTTAATTGGAGTAAAGTTTCAGATAAAGCTGAAAATGTACCTTATTTGAACATTAATATGGAGACTATAAATATCAATGAAAAAAGTTGGCTCTTTTCCTGCTGTTGGTAACAGCTAAAACTTAATAGGATATGTTATCTCATTGTAGCTTCCATAAAACACTGATAATCGAGATGCTGAGAAATATTAAATTGAATCTTAACTATATTTGGGGAGGGAGAAAATAAAGGATGGATGAACATAATCTATCAATTAAAGCATAAAAGTGATTTAAAAATTTAATAGAAGCATTAATTTTTGAAAATAATGTTTTTCTCCTCTTATTAGGAAAAGTGCCAAAAATGAACAGATGGGGTTATCTTTTTCAGGAGAACGGACAGTATCACTTTTATTCAAAATACTTAATACTTTACTTTCTAAAAGATTCTTATCTTTGACCAATTTATTGTTTATAGCAAATCTCTCACCTTGGGTACTGAACTTCCCATGGCATTGACTGTGACTTGTTTACATCTTAGCAATATGGCAGGCTGCAAATGAGCTAAAAGGTTTTCAAAATACAGATTTCAAACTACGCTATAGATTATTCAGCATAATTTAGTAGCATGCTAAAAAATTAACAATTTAAATAAGGCACTCTTGCTGTAGCAGCAGCAGCTGAAGCCTCCATAGCTTTAGGAGTGCCTGGGAGCAGAGGCATCTGGCTGCAGATGGTACAGAACTAGTTGTGGAACTGGGGGAATGAAAAATAAGAAGGGGGAGAAAAGTATTTGAATTAGGCTATTCTAAGCTCTTGCACAGTTCTTGCATTATTTGACATTATGTCCTGTTTTAAAGCTGAAAACAATATAAAGCTAAAAGTACAGAAAATAAAATCCACATTCCCAGTTGGCAGTTGTAATTGAAACAGCGAATATCTTAAGGGATGCTCTTATCAGAGGAAGTATTGAATATTTTAAGGTCAGTCTCAGAATTAAATGCTTGTTGATCATATTTATTTTACCCGCAAATGTTTATTCCCAGTTTTGATGCCAATCAAAGATAAAACATGAAATGTATTAGTTAAGTAAGATTTCTGGGAATTCTTACATTGGAATAACTGCTATTTTGGTGCAGAGAAAACCTAGAAATGAATAAATAAAGGAGTTGGAACACAACCTAATCCCCCCCCAAATCCCCAAACACACTGAAATTACTGAGAACCAATTATATTTAATCTGATTTCTTCTAACTTTATAAACTAATCAGAAAGGAGTCCAAACTCATATTAGCAAAATAAAATTAACAATGGACATTTCTCATTGTCTTAGAAAATGTATCATTTGCATAAAACAGAGTATAACATTATACTCTGTGTCCGTACTATGATCCTTTTAATATATTCAGGTGTCCTAATATAAGTAAAAAATTTTATGGCAAATTGAAAAAGGGATAGTGAATATTTATCACAAAAACTCACAATAAATGACTTTGGGGAAACATACATTAATTAATTAATTAAACAATGCATATATAAACAATTATTAAAATAAAAAACAATCATAAAAATAAACTATTGGAATGATCATAGCATAACTTAAACTAAAATGATAATACATAGTAATAATGCTTGATTTAGGTTTTAGATTTTATACTTGATATAAAACAATTCAATCTAAGCTTTAAAATTTTGAGAAAATTCATATTAATTTTTGCTTAGTTTGAATATTTCCAAGAAACCATATTGAAAGATTTCTTGATATCTAAAGAAGTAAGAACTTCTAGATTCTGCCTATTTTAAGCAATTGTGTCAATATTAACAATATTACCAGAACTTTGATGATTATATATTAATGCAGCATTTCAGCATGCACAACAGTTATTAAAACATTTTATTTTACAAGGAAAAATGCTATTAATAGTTAAGCATTCATATTTATCAAATAAATGTATGGGTAATTGATAGCAATAGCACTTAGACTTATATACCGCTTCACAGTGCTTTACAGCCCTCTCTAAGTGGTTTACAGAGTCAGCGTATTGCCCCCAACAATCTGGGTCCTCATTTTACCGACCTCAGAAGGATGGAAGACTGAGTCAACCTTGAGCTGGTGAGAATCAAACTGCTGACAGTCAGTAGAATTATCCTGCAATACTGCATTCTAACCAGTCTGCCACCACTTCTCTCTTGATACAAATACTAACATCCTTACCTTGCTTAGGATGAAAAATGTTTACTTCATTAAAGTAATAAGAAAAAGTTTCAACTGAAGTCTCCAATAGAAGATTAAAACCCAATCTGCTTTGTGTCAGAGAACTAGAAAACTACTAGAGTCAAAGAGAATTTTCAACTTTCTTACTACTGATTGTAGAAACAATTTCTTGAAGAGAAAGTAGCGGAGTGAGATTGCATGCAGCTCTAGGATAGATGTAGAGAATCATTTTTATCTGTTGATAAGAGATTTGAATTGTATAATTTGGAACAATGATTTTTTTTAAAAAAAAACTATTGCTTGATTAATCTAAAGTTGGTATATATTTTCCCACATTATATTAGAAATTGAACTTTATTTCTTGCTTAATTTGTTTAAATCTCAGGAGATACAGGACATGAATAATTCTTTAACTTCCTTCACTAGAAACTTAAGTTTACAATAAATGCCTTTGTTGTTTCTTATATCAATATAGTGATGAAACAGAAATTTGATATGAAAGAATTCTACAATTTCTTGATTTCTCATTTTAATAAATTATTATTTTACAACAATTATATATTTAGTCCATTAAAGTTACCAACATCACAGGAGCATAGTCTGAAATATTACATGTCTTAACATTAAATACTAAATAATGAAATATCAGTAAGTTTAAATGAAAAGTTTTATGCATGGAAAAGGAGACGTGTATACTGGGAGCAATTAGAATGCCAAATACCAGACTAAATTTGCATATATAATCTTGCAGAATTTATTTGTATATATCATCTTGAGATATTTCTTTAGTCAATTTATATGGCTGCCTAATTCATAGACCAGTGATGGCGAACCTTTTAGAGACCTAGTGCCCCAAAACTGTCCCGCCCCCCACCCACTCCGTCCCCCCACACTGCCCCTGCTATGACCCCACCCACCCGCAGGACCACCCACCGCCTCCATGGCCCTCCGTAGCAGATCGCCCAGGCGGCCCAGCAGCGTCATGGCGGCCATGCCCTCCGCCTGCGCCCCGCAGTATCATCTATGCGCAACGGGGTGCGAGGGTGGAGTCTTGTTCCTGCTTCCATGCTTGGCTGCGCTGCTCCGTGCGGGCCATGCCCGGGGACGACTCTCCTCCAGGGGGGAGGAGAGGGCCGTGGGGGGAGGCAGGGTTGGGGCGACAGCGCACGTGCCCACAGAGAGGGTTCCGAGTGCCACCTCTGGCACGCGTGCCATAGGTTCGCCACCACCGCCATAGACTGTGACCCTTCCAATAATTTATATTCCAACTGTTACAGATGTGTTTATTCAGTGTTTTGACTCTGTGCCTACAATAGTTTAACAAAAAGTTTTAGTTTTTTAACTAAAAAACATTTTTATTTTGCTTCAAAATTATGCATCAGAAATAGTGTGGCCATGTATAGTATGCTGAGTCTGGCAGAGGGCCTATCATTGTTAATATTTTAATTATTAAACCACTTTGGTTTAACAGCTGAAAACATGCATCAGCTCTGTCTTTGGGATGGAATAATTGCTTGGAAACATCTTTAGCTAAAATGTCTTTTGTATTTGAAAGTGAAAGGGGTTCAAAAAGTTTTTTTAATGGTTACATTTTAAAACAAAAACACAAAATATTTTTCCATTGTTATTTTATGTAAAAGTTGTTTAAATGGTTAAGTTTAGTATCTTACAACCTAGATGCTTTTGCTTTGTGTCCGTTTAAATTCTCAGAAGAGAATGTTGTGGATATTCTTATTTACCTGTATTGTTAATCTGTCTCCACCCCCTATTCTGCGTTATGATTTTCTTTTTGTGCTTTTGAGTCAGCCACGACTCCTGACGATTAAATGGACGAGCCCTGCAGTTTTCTCAGCAACACTTTCAGAAGGGGTTTGCCCTTGTCTTCTTCCTTGGACTAAGAGACATTGACTGGCCCAAAGTCACTCAGCTGCTTCTGTGCCTGAGGCAGGATTACTATATCTTGCAAATAAAGTGTAATAAGGCCTCCCTGGGTTAAAGATATTTCAAGTAGTACTCAGCCCATTATAAAGTTCAGTTCTCCACGAGATTTCCATTCTCCATTGAAAGGGTGTGACATGTGGAATGTCTTTGCAAGAGAAATACTTAAAGTACTTTTTCTATTTCTTTATGGCAGGGGTGTTAAACTGCCGGCCTGTGGGCCAGATGCATCATGCCGAAACCGCACCCACCCCATTGCCGGCAATGGGAAAAAAAAGTCACGATACATCGCGACACGTCATGTGACATTGCGAGTTTGACACCCCTGCTTTATGGGATTCTTTTTTTAATCTAGGCTTTCCTTCATTTGTCCCTTCCACTACTCATTGTTGATATGGGCCAAGAATTGGATATGCCACAATAAAAAGAAATTGTTCTAATAAATTGTTCTGTGCTTATTGCAAATTGTTTGAAATAATTTTAACTAATTAATCCAAGAGTTATATTTATGCCATTGACTATGCATTAAATAGATATGTTTTTTATTCTGAACTTTTAACAAAAATATTCACATAGCAGCAGGAAGCAAAATCCTAAATCATATATTACATTTCTGGACACATTTATTGAGGCTATAAGGCAGGATTTGTTTCTTCTTAACTAGACTATTAAAAAAACTATTTATTTTGCAGAATGCATTGTATTTTTCTAAACAGTAGCTTGATAAACCACTTACAATTTGTTTACAAAATTTTATAAAAACAAGACCTATTTGTAAATATTACACAACTTTTTTTCTCTTGTAGATCATCACTAAATATGTATATGAATTATTGGAAGAAGAATGCCATTTGAAAAAAGTATATGTTCCAGTAAGTTAAATGTATACAAATTTTTCTTAAAGTACATTAAGTTGTAAAAATGAATGTAAGGAAATAATTTTTTATTATAACTTTTCTTTGTGAGGGTTTGTAAAACCCCATTTCTGAACAATGATAGTTCAGAAATTCTATTATTGCTCATGTTAAAGAACTCATTTGATTTTAATTTTTACTCAGTTTTATGAATCTCCCTAGGAAATACAAGTACTTTATTTTGTTAACAACTAAACAAAGGGTAGTGGTGGGAGTATAATACTACCTGTGCTTGCGTCCAATTGCTGCTTCATTTTAGCTTAGTTTGGAAGAGGGTGTAACATAATAGAAGTTAAACAGGCTGTGAATTTATACATGTGCATGTAATACAAGAAATATTTTATTTTGAAGCATTACTTCAAGGTTAAATGCTTTATTCCAGATGTAAAATGTACAGGGTATAATGTGCATCTATTGTACAGATAAGTCTCCAGATTAAGTCTCAAATGTTGTGTCTGAACTCTGTCATGATGGCAAGACCCATTTTCTCCTATTTGCTTTGATTCACAATTCAGCAGTGCTCCAAATGTGTTATAGGTGTTTTAAATTTAAAAATTCTAAGGATAGAACATAGTCTTGAGTTTTTGAATGAAATAAAATTTGACATTGAATGAAATAAAATTAATGATGCTATGCCGTAAAAATCCATAATGGATATTCTTCATTAACTGTTGTGAATAGAAAATCTGCTGATGCTACAGTTCATCCAAACTTGTATCTGTGATCAACATGATTGTCTGGCTTTTGAGATCACTTGATTATCTCAAGTGATGATTTTCTAAGATAGGTGAAGCTTCATGATGGATACTCATGCTGTTGCAATTTTATGGCAGAAAAGGAAATGATGTTTTTGACAATACGACAATAGGTTTGATGACTGAGCACATGTCTGATATTTGTATAGTTATTCTTTAATGTAGGTGGGTACATTCATATAAAGGGGACATGTAGAGTATTTTTTCCACTGAACTCAAGAAAGGTGTTTTTTTTAATTGTATGTTTATGTAGTATTTATTCATGTCCATTATCTATAACTAAATCATTTCACATATCCTGTTATCATACCAGAATTATACATCTTATAGCAAATTGTAGACATTGGCCTAAGGATTCAAATACAATAATGTATTTCATGAACAGTTAATTAGAGCCAATCCATATGGATGTTTTTATAGAATGTTTCATTTTTGCCATGTAGAGTGATTTAAAACGAGGCCGTTCCATAGATATTGATCATCTATATACTACTAAAACTCTTACTCTGTAAATTTTAATTGGGCGAAATGATGCAGCATAGAGCATATGTAGAATGCTGTGATGATTTTTTTTTTGCTTTTATTTATTTGTAATCCCACCTTTATTATTTTTACAAATAACTCAAGGTGGTGAATATTTCCAATATACCTTCCTCCTCCTATTTTCCCCACAAGAACAACAACTCTGTCAGGTGAGTTAGGCTGTGAGAGAGTGACTGGAGCCACGTCACCCAACTGGTTTTCACGGCTAAAATGTGACTAGAACTCATAGTCTCCTGGTTTCTTGCCTGGTACCTTAACCATTAGAACAAACTAGTTCTTATTTACTTTCAATTACTCCCAAAGGAATGAAATTTGGGGGAGTGGTGGCTCCTTATTGGTGCAATATATTAGTTGTTCTAGTATCCCTGTAGAATTTATGGTGTAATAATACATAAGAAATGGATTTAATTTCCAGGTGCTTGGTTAATGGGGTGTTAGAGTGTCTGTCTTTAGCAATATGGACAATAAGATATTATGTCTGGCTTTGAAAAATGCTGTCCTCAGCCTGGGGAAAATTAGGTTCTGTATATATTTTGTTGGTTCCCAACTGTCATTGTTTATCCAATTTTTGCCATGTTTGGATAATCTATTAACTTTAGCCTGGAACTCCTTATCTTTTATTCTTTGGGTGAGCAGTATCTTGGCTTGGTCATACCCAAAGACATTAGGAATCTTGTGAAAGCCCATATGACGCCAATATCTGCTCTACAGCTTGTTTCCTGGGAGGACAAAATTTATCTTTTAATGCAGAAGCTATCACTTACATATAATGCTTCAGCTACTATTCAGAGTGCTAGCTTTATTCTTTTCAAATACTAAGTAATATGTAAAGGAATTTTTTTTTCGGGATGTGAACTTCATTGGAATAAACATTTTAATGGATGTTAGATTAGACTGTTTCCCTTGTTCAAGAACTTCTGATATTTTTGAACTTATTTTCTAATGAAGGATGTAGAGCTGCTTTTAAAAAGAGATTAAAGAGACTATACAAGAGACTAAAGATAAGGGAGCACATATTAAATTACTACATTGGTTGATAATCAGATTAGTACATCTCATGTCATGATCATTTAAAAGAAAATTCAGGAGATTTATATCATGAAAATAAAAATTGCTAGAGACATTCTCACCAAACAAATTTGGTTTGTCAATAAAGTGTGACTGTGTGGTACTATGACCATTTTATAGCTATAATTTAGTGAAAGTTTCATTTGATGTTTGAAGACAACTTGAAGATAATTTGGCTTGAAGGAATGTTTCCAAATGTAATTAAGATTGAAGTTGTAAAGGCTAATTCTAAGCCTCGGTACATATTGACTAATTTGTTTGTAGATAGATTAAATAAATATTTTCTAATGCATGGATCTTTATAATAAATACTTTTCTCATAGTTTTACATTTGGTCCACTAATTGGAATTTTTGTTATTAATTGTATGTAAAGCTATAAACATCAATCTTAATTATCTGCAGAGGATAAGAGAAAGATAAAGAAAGATCAGTTCACAAACCCCTAAGATGTAGTGGAGTGGAAAAAAACGTATAAGTGAAAGACAAAATTGCTTTGAAAATATAGCTTTTTAAAACCAGCCAACTGCCAGCTACCTGATTATTGTAGCTGTGGAAAGAAACATCACAAAAAATATTCTTCCTCCATCACCTTCCCAAGAGAGAGTAACATTGTTCATTATGTATTCTAATTTAAAGTAATATATTGATTCACAATTGAAAAACATGATCTAAAGGTGGCTTGTTTCCCAGCTAATATTCTTTCTTGGTTCATCAAGTCAGCTAATTTGTAGTAGAAATATTTCACATATATTTATTAATTAGTCACAAAAGGCTTATTGGATGATAATGAGCTGGGTTGGTTTTACTGCCTTTTTATGGATTGGAACTACTACTCCATTCCTTGGGAATCTGCAGCGAATTATCACTGTAGGTAAATACAGGTACAGAGGCCCATTAGATCTTTAGAGAAATGATATTACCTACCCACCCACCCCCAATTCAGAGCTTTATATTGCTATTTCTAACAAATGGTTTAGCACACCATTTGTTGTAGTAGTGACCTCTGCTACTACATTCTATTAAACATGATCTGTAGCCATTCTCTCAATCTTACTTACCTAAAATATTCCATTCTGGGCTCTTTGAAAAAAGGATAATGTAGAAAGAGCCAAATTTAAAAAAACGCCTACTGATAATGATGGATGGATGGTCTGCTGTTTGCTATTGAAGACAGTGTGCTCCCTTCCTCCCCTTTAGGGCAAGGCAGTATTGGTTAGAAGTTTATTTTTTATATATCAATCATAAATACTATCTGAATTGCTGATTGCAGGCAGTGTTTACTTCCGGTAACTTTTTATTATGTGACCTGTGTAATTGTTTATATTCACTAAATGTTGTTCTAATTTTAGGTAGATGCAGAAGAGACTGAACCTAGGAGTTTCATCTTTATGAGTGAGGATGCACTGATAAATCCTGATAAACTGATGATTTTAATTCAAGGCAGTGGTGTTGTCAGAGCAGGACAGTGGGCAAGAAGGCTTATTATAAATGAAGATCTGGACAGCGGCACTCAGATTCCTTATATTAAAAGAGCTATAGAGGTAAGATAATTATGGACTTTCCTAAAACAGAGGTGCACAACTGATTCCAAACTTCGTGTCATGCTTTGGTTTCTGAATGGTATACTGCATTGGAGGCCAGAATTCCCAAAATGCTAGATAGGGTTAGGACAGAAATTAAATATGGTTGTTTTGAATTTAAATTGAATTTCAGTTTAATATAATTAATATAGTTATTATACTGGTACATATTTAACAAGCAATCACTTATATTACAGAGTTAAATTTAAGAACAACTTTTAGAGTTTTCTGAGAACTGTGTATAAAGCTTTTTAAGTGACCGTACAAGGCTCTAAGGGTTCCAGGGAACCTCTTTTTAATGGGCTAATTTGGGGGATTAGTGTACACAATTCTGGGTATATATGTTATCTTAATGCATATCAAAAGTGTACTTATTGTTTTATTTTCAAGTCATGCATGCAATTTCTGTTGTGTTTCAGAATTTTTAAATGTGGTATTGAAATTCGTTGTTACATGTATGGTTTAAAACACAGAAATTAATGTAATGATTTGTTAAATTGGAACTTTCCTTTAAAAAAAAGAATTCATTTTACTAGCTTAAAAGGTTTACTTTAGTTCTGTCTCAAATAAAAATTTTGTCTACTTATTATAAAAAGTTGATCTTAGAAGGCACTTAAGCTCCTATGGTTTTATAAAGAAATGCATTTAAATACAGTATGTTTCTATAAAGTATACTAGTGAACCAAGTGGTCTGTCAGATGCTTTGCATTGCAATGTTTTATAGTAATGTGTTGCTATTAATTTATGTAGGTCAAATTCTGTGATTGATTTTATAATACCCAACTACAAGGATTTTCTGATTAGTGACAATTAAGTATCTGATAAATTGATAAAACTTAATTTTCTTGAATTTTCTAAAAAAATCCGTCCTTTGCCACACTTCTATTAACAAAATCCAGCAATAAAATTAACAGAAAAATAACAAGACAATGCAATACTTCTCATCAAGTAATAACAATAGCTAATTATTAGTATCTACAAAAAATCAACACATGCTGACCCAATTCAACTCATCACTCAGAAAGAGCATGAAATAATAGGAGGAGATAATAATAAGATAATAATAAGAGCCATAAAGATAAGATTAGATTCCCTACATTACCAAGATGGAAGATTAGGTTTAGGAAAATAAAACTATATCCACTTCACCTATAGTGACTACCTCAGTTGACAAACATTTGCAAATACACAGGTAATAAAAAAATCATTTTTCAATTAATTTGTGCATTTACGACAAAATTCATGCACCTGACAACTATGCATGCCAGAGTGAATAATTGTGGTATAGGTGTATGAGAGAGCTTTATCTGAATAAGGTTGCAGCAAGCAGTGATCATTGCAGTCTCCCTCTCTCTCTTAGTCACATGATCATTTAGCAACCCTTTTGCTTTACGATCTGGTCACTGCATCAGAACTTAGTCGCTAAATAAGGATGGGTGTATAAAATATGCCTTTATGAGCAATAACTGCTCCATAAGGAAAATTTGACAAGAAGGGAAAATTCTAAAATTTAAATCTAGCAAGCCAAAATGCAGTGCATCAGTTATTGTACCCATATAATAGGATGGATTCCGTAGAACCCCAGGATTATATGAGGACTTGAGTGAATTCCATGGGACTGGAGACAGGACACTGTGCAAGGGACTAAGGCAGGGGTAGGCAACCTTGGCTCTTTTATGACTCATGGACTTCAACTCCCAGAATTCCTGAGCCAGCCATGCTGAGGGGAAAAGGAGAGGTTTCCAAGCTGAGCCATTCTAGCTCAGGAATTCTGGGAGTTGAAGTCCACGAGTCATGAAGGGGCCAAAGTTTCCCTCATGCTGGCTCAGGAATTCTGGGAGTTGAAGTCCACAAGTCATAAAAGAGCCAAGGTTGCCTACCCCTGGACTAAGGGAATAAAACTCACTTCTCTCTGCAAGAAATGAAGCCATCTTTTCCCCTTAGTTCCTTGTGGAGAGTTTTATCTTGCTCCTTTGTGGGGATCTTAATCACTCAGGTATAACAGAAGGACAAGAATTGTTAGCTGACTTTCAGAAGCACCACCCCTGTTTAATCAGGGATTCATGAAAAAGTCTACTCTCTTACCATGCTTGATATCCTTTATATTCCTTTTATGAAGATAGAATTATTTAGAATGTATGTTTTTTAATTCTTAAATAATAGCTAAAATGAGTATGAATCAGAATCTTTTACGATAAAACTAGAAGTTGAAGAATGTGCTAACCAAATTTAAACTAAAAAAAGATATGTTACAGAAAATATAGCAAACTGTTGTATGTAATTAAAAATATAATTCAATTTTTAAACAAGCCTTAATTGCACAGAATCATATTGCCCATTTTTATTTAATTGTGTCAGAAAAGACCTGATTCAGAGATTTAGAATATGTACATTTCTACTGAATCGGAGCCTAAACCAGTCTTTATATTTCCTGTACAATATCAACTAAGATACTTCAGTTGTTCATATAATTGAATAATTGATTTAGCCTCTAATCTTTTTCTAATATTCTCAGAATTATGGGATTTTCCAAAGCTGCATCAGATCAAAAAAATGCAAAATATAATAATTGCCTTAATTTATTATATTGTCATCCTGCAGTTGTATGCAGTTTATATTCCTTTTGTAACCTCAGAGCATGTTAAAAGCATAATTAGCACTTTGTTGATCTAAGGTCTCCACCTCATTTTTAGCACAATCATTTTTTAAAAAGAAATATCTGCCAGTTTAAATCATAAATATCCACCAATTTCTCATGAGAAAGAGATTCAAATTTAAGTCTCTGTCTCAACAGTACAAGACTTTTTTTCCCTTTGGTTCTGGGAATACAATTAAATTCCAACTAAAATAAGAACCAAGTAGGCTCTTTGTTTTCAGAGGAGTCAAATAATTACAATTTAATCCTTGATGTTCTCTTGAGTTTGGCTGGGATTTATTTTAGGTTAGGTTAGGTTAGGTTAGGTTAATTTAATTTGTATACCGCCCTTCTCCCGTAGGACTCAGGGCGGTTCACAGCATATTAAAAACACAAATACAATATACAAGATACAAAAAATCATACAAAAATACACAAAATAACCCCACTAAAACCTAATTAAAAGCCAAATATTGATTGCTGTATTCCCATTCCCATTCCCATTACCTAACTAGGTAATATTATTAATACTAGTGACTAGATATACAGTGGTCCTTCAGTATTCGTGCTTATTTAGTTCTGAAAGATGCATTGAGTACTAAAAATGACAAGTAGCAAACAAACTATGTGACTTACCATGTGAATCTTTGTTTCATCTGGGAAGGACTTCCTATCTGTTACTTATCTTATGTAAGTGACCTTCTAAGTATGACTGACTTCCTGTCTGCCCTCTACAGCGGTCCCCCACTTCCTTTTCCATCAACCTTCCCAGCATGGCCAACTTCCTATCCACCCTCTGTGGCTGTTCCCCACTTCCTTTGGTAGTGTATCTAGTACCAAACAAAGATGAGTACCGATACAACATTTTCATGTCAAAATGTGTCAACTACCAAATTCAACGAGTTTTGAAGTAGTCGAGTACTGAGGTACCACTGTACCTTAATCAAGGAACTATCTAGGAAAAAAATCATATCCCCACCAAAACTGGCAGGGGAAGTTACTATATATAATCATTCTCACTAGCACTGATAATGTTACCTAGTTGAATATTGAAGCGTTTGCAAGCATTCTCCACAGTTCAACTCTTAGCCACATATATTTTCTTCTATTGTAATAAGTATTTAATTGTACCTATAGTAGTTCATATCAAACTCATGTACATAACAACATAGAAATGAATGTATATGACCAAAGGTACTATTGAAAATCTGAAAATTAAATACCCATTTTAATGTGGGATTTGCAGTGAAATGCCATAAACATTTATTTTTTTGCTTATCAATTTCTCCAATGTATCTAAGTAGAATTAAATAGATATAACAATCTTGAATTTGAATTCATTTTAATATTTATTCTATTCTTTATATTTTTATTTATTTGTATTTTTATTCATCAATTAACTCTGATGCTAGGCAACACAGCTCATAGTTTTCTCATCTACTAACAAATGCTTTTTTTGAAAAAAATATTCTCAAATGTATAAGGTTTTAGAAAATAAACAACTGCCGTTTTTGCATATTTCCATAAAATCTGTTTTGTTGATTGGCAATATATGAGATTCATTCCAGTCTATTGTATATCCAGAAAAATCTGTCATAGTATACAATACTAGGTAAAGCATTTTGGTAATTATTAGTAAGGCCTGACATATCATTTGTGTATAATAATAACATGTATTCAATTCCAGCCATTAGTATACTTTGAATACAAAGATTACAGAATCAAATTAAAACAACTGTATATAAAGAATCCTTGACAAGTTGTATGATACATCTTAACTTGTAGTTGATAATGTAATTTGTAAGAACTTGAGTAGAAGGAATAAAATCAAGAAATAATGAGAAATCCATTTTTTTTCTCACCATAGGCTCCAGAAATTTAGTCTGTACATGTTAAAGCTTTTTGCATATCTAACATAGCCATGACTGTCATTTCAAGATCTCAGGGTGAATTGCTGAAATATACACTAATAATATAATATTAGATTAGAGGCTTGGTATCTCTCATAAAATCCGATTGTGCAGAATATATTATTTATTTGATTTATTTGTATAATGCAAAGTCAACGATTCATGACACTTTACACTTTTAAAAAATATAAATTAAACCACAACATCAATACAAAATAAAACAGACTATATAATACACTGCAGTAATATAGTATAATAGTATTAACCTGCCTTGGGTCACATCAGCTGTCAAAGGACCTATGGAATAGTTTTGCCTTAGCAACCTTCATAAAACATACCAGAGTCGACACAAATATGACTTCTGGGGTAGGGAAACTATTATAAAAAAATATCTGCTCTAATCCTGTTTGTTCCTG